GTCGTAGTCAGGCCGGAAGGACTCGTTGAGCGTTGCAATCAGATAGAAGAGGGTCTTGCGGCTGCACTTGTCACTCAGGGGCCCTTCCTCATCCCCACTCTGACTCTTACTGAGCCTGCCCAAAGGGAATACGGTCAGCAACGGCTCCCAGCTTCCCAGAAGCAGGGCAGGGAAGCCACAGCTGGGAGCAGGGGCTCCATGGGCCCCCTGCCCCTTGGGCCCCAAGCAGCATGCACACAACCAGTTGGGATCCAGACAAGGGTCCCCTTCCACCACTCCCAGTGCAAGATGGGCACTGCCAGATGCAGACAGGCCAGTGGGCTGGCCATATACACCAGTGGCAATGCACCCCTAACACTTGTGTGGCCAAAAGCTGATCAAAGGCCACCACAGCAGCTTGCCAGGAGCTCCATCTGGTATAGCAGTCGATGGGGGCAGCCCTCCTCTTCCCAGGAGAGTGTGCGTCCCAGCAGACCATGCTGCAGCAACACCTGGAGGCTCCAGGCCAGAAGGCAGTGCTCCCCAGGCTGTGTGTCTGCAGGGGGGTGCAGCTGGCTGCGTTGTGGGGCAGCCTCAGCCCTTGCCCTGTGGGCTCTGCCCACAAGCTCATTAGTGCCTCAGGCAAATGGCAAAGCAGAAGCACCCTGGCTCCCAAGCACTGCCCCTGCACCCTCTCCCAGGGACGGCCCGGGGGGGGTGAATTGGGGTGACTGCCTCAGGCCCCGCGCTTTGGGGAACCCCACGGAGCTGGGTGGAGCGCCTGCAGCAAGTCTGCGTTGCCGCCAGCTTCACATCCAGCTGCTCAGCACCCCCACTGCCAAATCTGCTGCCGGGGCCCCACCCTGCTTGGATTATCTCTGCCCTCTCCAACACAGGGTAGGCTTGAGGAGGGAGGCGGGGGCATACCTGCTGGGGCTGATCCCTGTAGTCTGAGGTGGCGACAGGGCCTCAAGGACGTGCGGCTGGCCCTCCTGGCAAAACTGCTTGAACATGTGCTTGTCATCCCCGGCCATCTTGCACGAGTAACTCTCGATCCTGCAAAGACACAGCCCAGAGCCCTGAGCATGCAGCCTCCCAATGGCAACATGCTGGAGGGTGGCTCCTCAGTGCAGCAGGCAGCCTGCAGTATCCTGGTGGGGCAGGACTATAACTACCACTGCTGGGGCTCTGGGCACACCAAGAGAGAGTGACATTCTCCACTGGGCCTGGGCCAGCAGGTCACCTGGGAGATTCCAGTCTGAGCAGGGCAGAGGCAGCACGTGCACAATCAGCCAGTCTCCTCCACCCCAGGCCCAGGACAGCTTCCCAGGGCTCTGGCCGGGAACATGCCCAGCAGCCATTGGAGAAGCTCCCCAGACATTTCTCAGCAGGCTGAAACCACCCAGCAGGTGCCCTCTGCTTGTGCCCCGTTACCACCCAACTCACAGAGCAGGCAGAATGGAGAACTGCTTGCACAGCGATAGTAGCACAGTTGGGTCTCATTTGCTTGGGCCAACGGGGTGGAAGCACCGCAGGGGTGGGGAACTCTGCTTAGGGCAAAGGGGCAGACACCCCACCTGGCTGATGGATGCCCAGGGGCTGCTCCCACTTGCCCTCCCAGCAGAAGGCAACTGTGGGAAGCGGGTCTCATGCAGGCCCTGCCCAGGCCGCAAACGCCAAGATCAGACACGCACTGAGCTTCCCTGTCCTGTTTACACACCTCCTTCCTCCCTCTTCTGCCAGCTGTGCCCAGACCAGCCCCTTCTGCTTTCATGTCTGCTCTCGTCTGCCTGGCTCTGGCACAGGCATCGGTGCCGATGGCTGGGCTGCACACAGCCTGAGGTACGCTGGTGGGGCTGGGTGTCCAGTGCCACCTGCAAGCCAAGTCTCAGGGATGCATTTCTCCAGGCCCCAGAAACACAAGCCCCAAGACTGCTCCCAGCAGCAGTGAGCTGTGGACTGCCAAGCCAGTCCTGCTGAGGCTGAAGGGAAAGGGTGATGCTGGCATGCCCCACCCAGCACAGCTCAGCTTTCTTGTACCCAATGCCTCCCAGAAGGAAGAGAGGGCACAAGTCCAGCCTGGCAAGAAAGGGGCCCACAGAGTGAATGGACCCAGGAGTCCCAACACTCAGGCCCCCAGGCTAGCCACCGGCCAGTGCAATGCTGTCCACCAGCCTCAGCAACGGCATGAGCTGGCGGCTGCACCGGGGGTGTGGGGGGGGTGGGAAAGCTCTTCCCTCCTGGCCCGGCTATCCGTCACCCATACAGCACCCCAGAGCATGCACAGGGCCTGGCGACGGCTGCAGCTTTGCCTGGGTCCAGCAGTGCAGAGCGTCCAAGTCACTGCGCTCCCTGCCCCCCCCCCACTCTACTCCAGCATAGGGCCTGCAGGTTGCACCCACTGCTGACAAAGGGGGGGGCAATGGCTGCTCCAGTCAGGCTCTTAACACCCTGGAGCAGCTCCCAAGGAAAGCAGTATCACAGCCCATTGGCTCCATCCTTGCTGCATTGGCTCTTGCCTGGAGGGCAGACGGTTCTTTGCAGCTCAACAGCCCTATGCCAAGGTTAATGCTCCCCTCCTTCCCCAACCCCCAACTGAGATGCTAGGAGAGCATGCCAACCCCCAAGCACTGCCTCTTGTTACCCGCTGCACAGGAGAGGCCAAGAGACCCACATGACGAGGTGCGTAGTGCAAGCACCTTGGTCCTAGAGCAGGGCTACCCAGCTTGGAGGAGCTGGACAGGCACCCGGGCCCTCCCCACAACCACATCAGCTGGCATGGAGACAAGGCTCAGATGGGAAACAGCCAGGAACTGGAACACTGGGGCTCTACCCAGCTTCTGGTGATCCGGCATGGCCTCAGACCCAGACGCCTCTGTAGCTAGGAACTGGATCTCACCATCAGAGCTCTCAGCCTGGGCCCACCCCCTGGCAGGCACTTCCGGGGACACGGGGAAGATGCAAGGAGAGGAACCCAGCACGGTTTGACAGCACCCACCTGCCGATGATGTGAGCATCTCCTGTCTCCACTGTCAGCTGAGAGTTTATTGCTTCAAAGCTTGAGTTCTCCAGTAGCTTCATGGTCTCCCCTTCTGGCTCTGGCACGATTCAGTGCAACAGCTGCTGCAAGACTCCTACGGCCTGGCAAAGATATGGACTCCCATCAGCCACCTGACTCCTGGAGGGCCTGATGCCCCCACAGCCCTGCCGGTCCCGCCAGGCAGCATGTGGCTTAGCACCGAGGTAACAAACTGGCCCAGGGGCAGGAGACAAAGACGTGCCAGACTTGAATGAGGTAGTACCTTCCCTGGCAAGGCCTTCAGCAGCCGCCCTCGCCTCAATGGGGCAAGCCCCCCTCCAAGCCTTTTCACTTCCCTGCCAGCGCCCAGGCCTGTGCTCTGCTGGAGTCTCCAAGCTTCCTCCTTGGTCCTCCTGTCCTGCCTGCAGGCTGTGGCTAGGAAGCCCCTCACCCCACCAGCTGGGCTGGTGCCACCGCTCTGAGCTGTCCTCTGGGGTGGTCTTAGCAGAAGGCTCTGGCATCTGCTCTGCTCAGGCCTTGGCAAGTGCCATTAGAGAAGCATTTCTCAAACTGTGGGTTGCAAGAATATATGAAAGGGTTGCAAACAAATTTAAGAAATGGGTCCTCCTTTAAAAGAAGAGAAGTGTGGGAAACCATGGGCTTTTCCCTTCAGGCTGGCAGAGACCAGGCCTGCAAGAGGCTGCCTGTGCACCCACTCCATGCCCCACACACCAGGGGCTGGGGCCTTGGGGCAGGGCAGCAGGTTGGGAGCGAGGGGCACTAGGTTGGGACTGGCCGTCAATGTTTACAAAGGAGTCCTGGTACAAAAGAGGTAGAGAACCACTGCATTAGAGCAGCGCTTCCCAACCCGTGTGCCATGGCATGCTGCTGTGCCATCAGACATGTCCAGGTGTGCCGCAGAATCTTGGGGGGCATGGCCCCCAGCAGGGTGTGGCTGCAGCCAGTGCTGCCACCGCGCCCCAGCCAGACCCGCGTCGATACCCCCCTTCCACGTTCGGCCGCTCACCACCCCACCTGATCCGCGCGTGGCTGCTTGCTGCCACCCCCCACTTCGCTCTGCATTCAGCTAGTGTGCCATGGGATGGAAAAGGCCAGGTAAGTGTGCCGTGGGATGGAAAAGGTTGGGAAACATTACATTAGAGCACAGCACATTCCAGGGACACTCGTTGAGCCAGGCCTGCTGGAGAGTGCTCCCCTCCACCCCAGCACTGCTACAGCGGCAGGATCAGAGGCGTGCAGCACAATTTGCCCAGACTGTGCCCCATCCGAAGGACAAGGACTCCAGACCAGGGTCACCCCAAGGGCTCGCGGGCTGCCAGGGCCTCAGGGGAGCATGCTCTCCTGTTGCAGAGCTCAGCGTGGGCAGCACTCCCGCTGCCTGGCTCGAGGCCCAGCGCAGTCCTGCGCTGTAACAGGAGAGTCTGTAAACAAGCAGAGGGGCACATGCCACAGCCCTCCGGACACAGTGTCCCCTTACAGCCTCCTCAGGCACTAGCCAGGCCTTCATCCCAGGCTAGGCACTATGTCCAAGGAGGCTGAGCTCTGCCCTTTGGTTTCAGACCCCTGTGAAGTAGGGGAAGCAGGGGAAGGCCCTGTATGTCCCTGGACCAGCCCGAAGCAGACGGCACACACAGAGTCAGAGCAAGGGCAGGAGTGAGCAAGAAGGAGCAGGTGCCAGGGCGAGAGCCTGCCCTGGCCACAATGTCAAAGGGAAGTCAGCTCCACCAAGCCTGCAGGGCGCATGCAGGCTGCCTGAAGAGAGGATTGCAGGGGCGGGCTGTCCTCTCCCTGACACAGCCCAGGCGGGATTAACAGGAGGGGCACGCGAGTAGCAGCAGCAGGGAGAACAGCTCTCCTGACAGGCAGCCTCAGCCTAAGCGGCTGCAAGAGCAGTCAGCCCCAGCCCAGTACTGTGCCCTGACTGGGCCTCACTCCGGCGCCTGCCAGCAGGATGCGGTCCAGCTCCTGCCCCAGCACCAACGCTGCTGCTACAGTGGCCAAGCTGTCCTGGGTGGGAGCCAGGCCAGACAGCGAGGCCTTGGTAACACCAGCACCCCATTCTGCGCAGGCTCGCTGGGGCAGACACCCAGGGTGCAAGGCACTGCACAAGGAAACGGACTTTGCCTCTACCTCCCGACACTGCCCAGAGGCTTCAGCACTGCAGGGCAAGAAGGAAGAAGGACAAGGGCCAGAAGTGAGGGAGGGACCTTCCAGATGAAGGGCTGCATGTGACCCTTGGGGTTAGCTTGGTCCCAGGACAGCAGGGACTGGGAGAGCGCCCCCACCCATGGCTCCTTTCTGTGTAATAAGTGCAGCAATGAAGCGGGCAAGGGAAGGGGCGACTGCCACCCTCCCTGACATTGCAGGAGTGCCTGAAGGCCCAGAGAGGATCCCAGGGTCAGGCTGTCCATGTTACAAGCATCCACAGCCTGCAGTTGGGATCCAGGGTTAAAGAGCAAGCCTGCGTCTGCTCCAGGGCGCACACAACGCATCAGCCTGACCCCTCCAGGAGAGGCTCCCTAGCACTCCTGCCAGATTATCCAAGCAGTAGAAAAGCAACCAGCCAAGGACTGGTCACACCAGGAGTTAAAAAGCAGAGCAGGTGCTGCAAGGCAAGGGCTGAGATCTTCACTCCAGCCAGGGCCAGGGCGCACCAACCTTGACAGATCCCCTTGCCAGGCAGGCCTCCCTCGGGGACCCAGACACACTGGAGGTACCGAGCGCGGGGCCTTGCAACAGAACCACTGCCCAAAACAGATGGTTGTACAGGCAGGAGACGGTGCTCCAGGACCCTAACCACCCTGCAGCAAGGTCCGGGCGCTCCAGCCCAGCAGCCTCAGCCAGGGCCACCAGTAACTCTGCAAAAGACACAAAGTGCCTGCTCCTGTTGCAACGTTCTCCTGGCCCAGTGGCTCGCAACCTCTGCAGACTCAGAGCCCCCGTGGGAAAACACCAGCCCTTTGCTTTCTCTTGTTTCTTAACTATGGAAAAACAGAGCAGCGCTCGTTGCAGAGAGCTCTGCTCGCAGAGGGACGCAGTGCCTCCAGGCTCCTGCAGTGGGGACTGGCAGGGGGAGTCCTTCAAAACACGTTCCAATTTAGCTCGTCTCAAGGGGCTGCTGAGAGACCTGGCAGCAGCAGGGAAGCCCTGGAGGCCGAAGCACTGCTTGTACCGACCCTGGCTTAGTCCTGGCGCTGGGGATCATGGTGCTCCTCTGGGTTAGGGGGCCAGGCCACTCGGGTCAGGCAAGAACATGGGAAACGGAGCAGCGGGGCTGGAAGGGACCTGCAGAGGTCACATCTAGTCCAACCCCCTGCAGGATCATCCTTATTCATACCGTCCCAGACAAATCCACCTAAACTCTTCATAAAACCGCTGCCAACCCTGACACAACACATCACACCTAGCTCTGCCACAGAGAGAGGGGGGACCACGACAGCCAACGTGTCCTGCTGCTGCAAAGGAGGCTAATATGCACTCAAGTGATCTCAGGCTGAGGCCATGCCCCTGCTGCAGAGGAAGGCAACCGCCCCTCCCCAGCACGGACCAATTTGAGCAGGGGGGGAAATCCCTTCCTGCCCCAGTGCAGCATCGGTCTGAGCACGAGCGCAGAGGCAAGACCCTCCAGCCAGGACCCTCCTGGAACTGCCAGCTTGCGCCTAGTATCCTGTCCCCGGCACACCACAACGGGCCACACGAGGGGAAAGCTCCAGAACCCAGTCGCAGAGAACACAGGACAAGGCTGTTTGCTGGGGAAGGTTATTCTTCCCTTCGAACAGCGGCTACTTCCCTGAAGAGGGAGGAAGGCCCCTCATGCTTTCCCTTCTTCTCAGCTGACAACTCGGGAGCAGCCAAGGTGTGAGCTGCCGGGACTTGGAGATCAGCCAGCCAAGCCTGAGGACCTTGATCAACATGTGAAGGGACTGCATCCTCCAGACTGTCATGGGGACGCTGTGGTGCTGAACAGGAAACGAGGCGGAAGCAGGAAGTTGTCAGGACAGTATACTCAATAGTGAGCAACAGGTGCCAAAAGCCCAAGGTTATAAATACTTGTAGGCTGAGTCACGGGAGCTGTCAGCCCCAAGCTCTGGGCTCAGGATACGGACGGGACTCCAGTCCACAGAAGTGTCACCACCGGCAAGGCAGAATGGTGCAAAGGCCTCGCTCCCCCTTGCGAGGCGGGGGCGGGAGGCCCGGCACACACCTGCTTGTACACGCAGACGCTTGGTGACCCATTCTAGTAACCGGCCTCCTCTCCTAGCAGGACTCGGTGACCCCTTCTCTTGGCACCTCCTGCAGAATCTGTTAAGCTGTTTGCTAAGGACGGCAGGGCTTAACCCTCAGCTCTGCCCCAGTAGCACCGTCTACCTGGCTAGTGGAAGAGCCCCCTCATGGGTGTCACGCACCTACCCTGCTCTCAGTGAAGGGGTGTAGCCAGGACATCTTCACGATCTAGGTGCGAGGAAATACTGCAGAGCCTTTGGTAACTAGGTACAGAGCTAAAAGCACCAGGTCAGCTCTACTTTGCCAGAGGCAGAACCCCGATTTCAGCACGTCGGAACCGAGCTGGTGGGTCCAGAGCCCACTTCAGTCTGGGGCAGAGACCGAGCTCCCCTGGGCAAGGCTGCTGCCGTTCTGCTCCCTTGCAGCTACAGAAAATCATAAAGCTAAGAGACAACTATTAGGTCATGGAACAGGAAACCAATGAGGGTCACGTGATCAGTATTTTGCAAGAGAACTAGAGGAGAAAGGAGCGGGGCTGCTGCAGGGAGTCATGAGAGAGGGCTCAGCAGCAGAATTGGACAAGGCAGAGGAGCAGGTGGCAAGCGGAGAGCGCTCCCACGGCAAGATCCCTGTCTGAAATAAGAACCTGCCCAGCGCTGGTGGAGGTAGCTCATGTCCCCAGCACAAACCAGGAGCCAAGCTGCCCCTTGCTGCAGCCTCTCCACCGAGCTCGCCAGATCCCAGAGGCTGTGTGAAGCAACTCCCTTTCCCGGAGCCGTTATCTCAGTCCTACAGCGCTCGCATACGTTCAAAGACCAGATGTATCTGCAGCTGCAGCAGGTCACAGCCTGAGCTCAGTGGGGCACAGTCTTAGGTAAGACAGCAAAAAAAAGAAGGAAGAGGAAGGCAGGTTCCACTTCTTTATGCCTGGGCAATAAGAGCCACAAAGCCACTGCCTGAAATGCTTCTGGCATCAGGAGAAGTCCCAGTGCCATACGGCACTTCAGGAGAGAGATAAATTACCACTGTTTGTCAGGAGGGGAAAGAAAGCAACCCTGGGCTGACTCCCTACAAGAGACTGGGAAAGGCAGCTGGCAGAGGGGGCCAACGGCAGAGAGGGAGAATGGATAAAGGCCGACATCCCAGCTCTGCCCCTAGCCTTTGCTTTCCGTCCCTTTCCTATTGCCTGGCACTTCTGAGGGGTACCAAAAGGCACTGCTTAGATGTCCCGTGTTCTAGGCAGGTGCTGCTCCACCAGGGCAGTTTGCCCCTGAACTCCTGGGTAGTTTGTCCAGGATCAGCAACAGCAGAGATGCCACCAAGCACCAAAGCGGGTGCTGATTTGCAATCACACTGAACAAGATTTGGGAGAGGACCACGATAGATAAGCCAGGTACAGCTCTGAACCACTATCTTAAAATAGGCCACGTATCTTCTATGCAAGCCAAACCACGGGTGCTGCCTGCTCGCTCAGGGACACGACACGAGCACGCGTTCCTGGGAGCAAAGGATGGAGACCCCTGCAGTGACAGAAGGGGGGACCCACCAGGGACATCGCCCAGGGTGTTGGGGAGGGAGAGGGTTGAAAACCCTGGTTTTGGTAAATGATGCAAGATTTTTCTTTCCATTTTGGGACAATAAGGAGTCACCCAAATGCATTCCTGGCAGAAAAGGACAGTGACACCGAACAAGAGAGGCTTCAGGTTTGAAGAGACAACTGATTCCTGAAGATCTCAGGTCCAAGGGTACAGCTTCTCCATCTACCCATGATGCTAAATGGCACCAAAACTACGCCTGACCGCAAAAGCCTCCACAAACACAAACTGTCCAACCCCATCTAAAGGTAAAAGGGCGACTCCATCACAGCCCCCCAGCGTCTGCACGAGCAGCACGAGTCTGACGACAGACCGAGACATGACACGATGCAGTGACCGACGCCAGACAAAATCCGATTAGAAGCCGGGTGCAAGTTACCCACAATGACCCACCCTCCCTGCAGGCTTTTCGGCCCGAAGCGGAGGCCGTTCCTAGAAGACAAGGTCCCGCAGCACAGGGGAGGGCCGATGGGGCGATCTCTGTGCCCCTTTCCGGGCTAACCAGCCGGGCTCCTGGCACAACAAAGCTTTGCAGAAGCTCTGAAGCGGCCTGGGACCTCGCACCCTCCCGCTGCGGGGAGCGTCTCCTGGCAGTAACTCCTGCTTCCAGCGGCGCTGGGGGTGGCACAGGGGCTCACGGGTGCAAGCAGCAGCGCAGAAGTCCAGGCGAAGCAGGCAAAGGGGGCCGCCGCCGCCGCCTCCTCCCGCGCGCTGGAGCCCCCATGCCCGGGCCCTGCTGCGCGACGCCAGCACGTGCTGCGGCAGGACGAGGCTGGCAGCCCTGGAAGTAGGGCGAGAACTCGGTTTCCCAGCAGGCCGCGCGCCAGGGGCCGCT